ATAACAAAGTGAATCAGCTATACATATGCTCCCATATCTCTTCCCTCTTGCGTCTCCCTCCCTCCCACCCTCCCTATCCCACCCCTCTAGGCGGTCACAGAGCCCCAAGCTGACCTCCCTGTGCTATGTGGCTGCTTCCCACTAGCTATCTATTTTACGTTTGGTAGTGTAGATATGTCCATGCCACTCTCTCACTTCGTCACAGCTTACCCTTCCCCCTCCCCATATCCTCAAGTCCATTCTCTAGTAGGTCTGTGTCTTTATTTCTGTCTTACCCCTAGGTTCTTCATGACGTTTTTTTTTTTCTTAAATTCCATATATATGTGTTAGCATACGGTATTTGTCTTTCTCTTTCTGACTTACTTCACTCTGTATGACAGACTCTAGGTCTATCCACCTCATTACAAATAGCTCAATTTCGTTTCTTTCTTTTTATGGCTGAGTAATATTTCATTGTATATATGTGCCACATCTTCTTTATCCATTCAATTACAATACAATAGCCTGTTTCCATCTCCAGGCTATTGTAAATAGAGCTGCAATGAACATTTTGGTACATGTCTCTTTTTGAATTATGGTTTTCTCAGGGTATATGCCCAGTAGTGGGATTGCTGGGTCATATGGTAGTTCTATTTGTAGTTTTTTAAGGAACCTCCATACTGTTCTCCATAGTGGCTGTATCAATTCGCATTCCCACCAGCAGTGCAAGAGTGTTCCCTTTTCTCCACACCCTCTCCAGCATTTATTGTTTCTAGATTTTTTGATGATGGCCATTCTGACTGGTGTGAGATACTGTGAACAGTCATTCAATAAGCAAATCTCTGAGTTCTTTTAATATCATAAACTGTAGTTTTCTGGACCAGAAGACTTGAATGTTTGTAAAAGGTCAGGGTGTTTTTATTATTGAATACCTACTTCATACCAAGACTAATCACATGTTCACTGCCGTTAATTACTATCCAACGGAAAACTTAATTCAGAACTCTAAATCAGTATGACACAAAGGTCTTAATTAAGTGGTAAAACTCCCATGTTACCATAGTTTTAAAATAATTTTTGTTACTTATCAAGGATTAATTTTTTTGGTCAGTTTCATATCTCTTGAAATTCATAACATTTGAAAAATAATAAGCTCCGATATGTGGTTTTTAGTAATAGAAATAAAAAACCCGCCCTGATTTACTATTTGGTATTAAAATTGGTTGGAATTCAAAATGATAAAAGCGCAGTTGGAAGGTTTAGACTATAGTATTCACATTTTTCTATTATAAATTTGGTTATAATTTCCAACAGACACTACATTTGTATAAAGAACTCTGGGATAGGCTCTTCTTGTCAACAGGATTCCAAAATTATAGACACTGATGTCAATGCAGATGAGGTTAGCCTAATTTGGTCAAGAGAAGGACATGCTGAGTCTCTATATGGATAGCTAAAGGCTCTTGCCAAGATTGACAGGTGTCCTGTGAGTGGCAGAGAGCCCCAGGGATAAAATTTGCGCTTGGATTACTTCTCTTAAGACACAGTGATCAAAGCTGTACCTTTTCCTTCTATTGATCATGCTCTTAAAATAGTGAGATTTGCTTTTAATACCCTGACTGTTCGGATATTACTTTTATAAGCCCCAGCAAGGTAAAGAGTTTTATACTTTTTTCTTATAGTATTAAATTCTGTTTTCATAAAGCTTAGCTGTCTCCTGTGCATTAATTTTTCTAGTATAGTCAAGTGATTTTTTTTGTAGCTCTGTCATGTTTCACTAAGGCTTTGAGACAGGTGAGAAGAGTTAATGTAAAAGAATACATTTGTTATTATTGTAAAAGGCAACTATTTCTTTATGGGATAATAAATTATTTTATATTTAGAAAGATTAATTTTAAGATAATTTTCTAAGAAATAGACATAATATTGTAAAGGAGTGTTAATACAATTTGATGACAGCTTTTTGTTTCTGTTTCGTCTTATTGAAAATTTTTTATTAAGAGAAGTCTTATACTTTATCAAGATAAATTAGTGATAAATATTTCATATCTCAGAATAGGAAAAAGTTTTAAAGCCATTAGGTCCGTGCCATTAGGAAAGGTAAGTGTACTGTTTTAAGAAAAACTTGTATTGCCTGAGTTTTTTTGTGAGATTTGAGTGATGTAAATGTGTCATCAGCAACGAAGGAGCTATGATTTTAGGCATAAACTTAGTAGCTATTTCTATTCAAATAGGAAATTTCTGATCTGGAAGGACTGTGTCTTGATTATCTCTGTATTTCAGTGTCAGACATACAGTAGATATTTAAGAAAGGGGATGCTGGGGGACCATTTTAGGGAGCCAGCCTATATTCACTGGTGTGAAAAATGACCGTAGCCCTACCAGGCCTCAGGAGAGGTTCCCAGGGCACTGGGCAAGCACAGCACACGTTGCCCTCATGAACCATGTGATTTCAGTTAAGCCCAGAGTTGGGGTGGAGCTGGAGTGGTTAGGTCATGATCATTGTTAGGTCTTAATTATTTAATTTGGACTTGGCTAAATGTTATTGAGAGCCTGCTATGAGCGAGGTATTCTTTTACAGATGTTATTTAACTCCTGTGAAGGGAGGAAAGCAAGGCCCTTACAGGTGGTGATTCACCCAGGTTCACTCAGCTCTTGGCAGTACAGCTGGGAAATAAACCCAGGCTCTTGACTCCCAGTGGAGTTTTGAGATGGTGGGATAATCTCGACAGAAGTTCATTTAAATGAGAGAATTTATAGGACTGCCTTTCTTTTTTTCCTGTGTGTCTTAGTTCTGATTCTTTCCCTCTTCCCTTGTTCAATACTTCACTTGTATTTATTTACTTCTTTTTGGCTCCGCCCTGCCACACGTGAGATCTAGTTCCCTGACCAGGGGTCGAACCCGCGCCTCCTGCCACAGAAGCGCGAAGTCTTAACCACTGGACCACCAGGGAAGTCCCAATCCTCCACTTTTAGACGAAAAGCAAGTTGAGATTCTTGACCTCACCACCATTAACCAAAAGGGCATTTATCAAAACGTACCAAAAATAACAGGATCGTGTTTGCTTCGTAGAACTCAACTTTTCGAGCAGCTGACTGGCTGGGAGCTGTGAGGATAGGAAGTATTTCTGGGCTGGGCATCGAGGTGGTAGGCTAATTTGGAGAGTGCAGCCCAGGCTAGTGCGGCAGATAACGAATGATGACGACCAGCAGTTCTCCTGAGGGTGGAGCTGATTACATTTGGCTGCTCTGACCTGTTCCTGGGCATCCTTTGAGTTTGCCGGCTGGAACCTTACTGCCCAGAGAGTAATCCAAGACCCTGACAATCTCATGTCACACCTAGTTTCATGACAGACTAAAAAAGTTATCTCCATTTGTGCAAGGATTAGCATTACAGCTTGTTAGTTCAGTAGAAAGAAGAGGTATATATATATATATATATATATAAAATGTATAAGGTGTAGTGGGAAATGTATGGCCATATGTTATGTATAGCTTCAATTTAGAAAAATTGTGATGTGCATCTGTAATTTGAGTTTATGCCTCATTTTGACAGGTGGAGAATTAACTTTAAAAAAAAAAAACTCTTCCTACTGAGGATTGGATAATGAAAACAGCATTGGTATTTGAACTATTTGGGCTGTTTTCAAATATTTTAGAACCGTCATGTGGGTACCGCCACTAGGCAGATGCCTTTGTCTCACCGTGAACTGCAGCCCGTGACGTAGTCCTGTCGCATCCTGAGTGTTTCCCAGCCCGTCCACGTCCCGCCCCCCGCCCCCAGCACAGTCCGTGAGCGCCTCTCCTGGGCCTCCGCTGTGGCCTCCTGACCGCCCCCCAGCCCCTACCCCAGTGAGCTGCCCTTGACCAAAACCTGCTGAAGTCTCCAGCAGGGTGGGATTAGCTTTTAGGACGCAGACGAAGCCCCTTCTCGGGGCCTGCACTGTGGGGTCCCACAGCCTGCACTGCAGCCTCCTCTGCTCTTCTTCCCGAATCTTCTGCTTGTCTTTGTTGTGCGTTGTCATGTCTGTGAGGATCATTCTTCCCATCCTCTTCGTGTTCTTGCCCTTGCAGTTCAGCTCAGGGACATTTCAGGGCCTCTGGGAAGAAGCCCCTGACCTCCTAACCAGGTCAGACCCGGGGCTTTGTTGGCGGTTCCCGTCGTAGCTCCATCGTACTTGTTTCCGTTGCAGTTTTGTATTTACTTGCAGACTTCGATTAACGTAGACTGACTAAACTGTAAGTTTCGGGAGGGCAGGAGCCCTTTCCGTTTTCACTCAAAGATTATACCCCTGGCGTCCAGCAAAGGGCCTGGTACCTAGTTGCAGCTTAATGAATACTCGCATGAAAGTTTCATGAAAGGCTTTTTCTCTGCTGGCTGCTGTGAGAGATCATGAAGATGAATAGAGGCCCACTTTGCTTTCACCGAGCTCACTCACAGCCGAGAGAAGAATGAGACGTGTGACACAAATATTATCATGTAAGCTAGATTGCAAGCCGGGCTTAGAAATAGTGTACTTTTAATTGCTTGAAAAATGCGGATAGGCTGGCCTTTGTCAATAAATCCATAATAAGTGAATTATAATGTTAAATAGCACAACATTATCTATGAAAGCCCCTAGCATTCATAAAGTAATCCTAGCTCTAAAGGAAATAGAGTTGACCAATTCAGTATTTAAAGTTGAAAAAATAGAGTAAAATGCATTGATATTTTTAAATGCCAGGACGTTATACCTGTGACACTGGTCTCCGTGGAGGAAATGAGGAAATTTTTAGTACTGCCAAACATTTTTTGGAAGTTATTTGAAAGCATTCCTGGTGTTAAGGTCGGGGAGGTGCTTGGGCCCAGCTGGAGACCTCGTTTGCCTACATTTTGTGAGACTGTTAGGTTAGCGCTCACGAAGGCGTTTCCTCCCCTCTTCCAGCTTTACTGACTCTCCTTCCCCAGCCCTGGGCTGTGGCATTAACCACGCGCTGGTAGGAAGGCCGGCTGGCAGCATTTTCTCAGAGAGTCAGGTGACCCTTGTTTGAAGGCAGCTGCGGGAGGTTCAAGGCAGGCAGTGTCCCCTCTCTTCTGCCTCGGGACAGCTGGTTATTGTCAGATCCTAACAAATCTTCCTTGCTCATTGCTCTCTGGGAGAGGAGGGAGGCTATGCAGGGGGCTTTTCATTGATCCAATGGGAATTACATTGATCTGGTGTCTGGCCTTGGTTCTTATCAAGTGGATCGCCTCTAAGGTAGGCCATCTTTATTTTTAGGATTGTGGCATTAATCATTAGTGTATATATGGGTAGGAATGAACTTGCTACTCAGATTTCTTCTCCTTTTGCTTCAGTTTTATTTCTCTGATTAAAAGAGCTCCACGTTTTACCTGTCAGCTGAGAAGCTTGAGATACTGCATGTAATTTTTATTCTTCTCCCACCTATTCCTCCTGAAGGGCTTTTTATGGTATCATTCCTTGGTATCGAGGTAGCTTTCCTCAGGATCATTCCTTTAAAGAAGTTTTTACACTTAAAGAAGTTCAGCTTTTAAGATTATGGAATTAAACAGTTTAGACATTTGGTGCACATATTTTAAACATTCTCTTCTGGAGATAGCAAATTTACTGTTGCTTATAAATTTAAAGTATAGTTATTGAGGATTTCTAAACAATTAAAAACTTTTTAAAAACGAAATACCACTGTCTCTCATGTTCTCACTTAAGGTCTTCCTGCTGTGGAAATATATGCCTTAACTTTATTTAATATGTTGAAAAGAGTAAGATTATTATATATATTGTTTTTAAATTTGGATTCCAAATATCGGGCTTAAGAAATGCTTGCTATAGTATTTCATCAACTGAATCTAGCATTCCGTATTAAGTTGTCTTCATTATTCCCTATTAAAATTATGCTATGATTAAAAAAAAAAAAAGAAATGCTTGCCAGAATGCTAGCCATTTGCCATCCGAATGAGAGTCCAAAGTAGGAAATACTTAAGATTATACTATTTGAAATTATTTTTCTATACTTGCTTAAAAATGATGGTCTTTCATCCACCAGGCAGCTTTTGTCTTCCTTTATTAAGAAATTGAAAAGTGTGAATAGTAACTTAAAATGTATAAGGCCATCGCTGTTTGCTAATAAGCAACACAAAAGCTTCTTTTATGTTTCTTCTTAAAGCGAGGTTTGAATCCCTGATAATGTAATGTTTTTCACATTTAAGCATATTGTTTTAAGCATAATTGTCTTTTTCTTGAAGCAGTCCTGTTCTCTTAGTGAATACGGTTGAAGAAATCTCTTAAAAACAGTGCACTCAGATTTTTTAAATCTTGTGTTTTGTAAGTTAAGAATGAATTTTGTTTCACTCACACCAATTTACTAATTGTTTTTAAAGGATTAGCTTGCCAAGTTACTGAATGAAGGTCAAGTTAATATTAATAATGCATTAGTTGAATTGTGGATGTTTTCAGAGATTTTTTTTACTTTTGTTATAACCACCAAAATATTTAAATTATGTTTTTAAACAAAAAGAATGCTAGTATTTTAAGAGTGTAATTTTTTTTTTCTAATATATTGTTTGCATAGGGAAGAGGATTGGGAAGGATAGTGTTCAATGGATGGATTCGTACTTGGATAGGCACTCAGGTGCGAACGCTTTCCTAGCATATGTAAGATGAATACGGTCTGAAAAAGCTCACTTTACTGCATCAGAGAAAACTGCTTTCAGAACTTTGGGCTTCATCTTTTGTAGTGTGTTACCGTTTTTGTAACGTTACCCAAAAATGTATTTAGTGCTGTTGTGTTTAAGCCCTGTGACCTGTTTACTAATCTCCAAAACCCGGCGTATAAGACCTGCCTCACAGAGGTCTTGTGCGGGTAAGTGAGGTTTTGTTTGAAAGCACTTGGAGCATTTTCTGGCGCAGAGTAGGAGCTCAGCAAGGAGTTAATATATCATTACTTCACCATCTAAGGGAAAATACACACGCCTTTGCACAATAGATTATTTTACTGGAAAACCCAAACAAGATAAAAACCATAGCACTTAAGATATCTTTGCTCAGTTTTAAAACATGTCTGTCTTGGGAATTCCCTGGCAGTCCAGTGGTTAGGACTCGGCGCTTCCACCGCCCAGGGTGCGTGTTTAATCCCTGGTTGGGGAACTAAGATCTCATAAGCTGCGCCAAAACAAACAAAAAAAAACATGTCTGTCTTTAAAAGTTATGTATTAACCAATATCAGGAACAACTTTTACGCCTTTTGTCATTTACCTTGTAAGTCAGATCTTTTGCGGAAGAGCCGCGATTCACCCCGATGCAAGATTGAGTGTCTTACCAGGGCACTCAGAACTCCTGTCTGTGTGGTGGTGGATCCTTTGGAACCTTAGAGTTTAACTTGTTTATGCTGTGGCTGTCAGTTTCTGATTAGCTGGGCCTCACCCGTGGTTTGACTTACACTAGTTTGCTTTATGAGCTGTTCCCAGGATGGCTAAATTTAGAAAAGTCATGAGTAGAAGCTTCTCAGTTGTTTCCATTCACTGGTGAGGTGAGGTGGGAATGTGGATGATAGCCCCGAGTGTTTTATGACTGACAGTGTGACACGGGAATTTGATTAAATTTGTTTTACTGTCTTTATTAAAAACAATTTTGCTAGTATATGGCTTTAAAAATGATAGTCTTTTACAAAGATATATGTTAAGTCTGTGCTGCAGTCTTGGTGTATAAAGCACATATAATTATTTTTTAAAGTAACATTCTAACATGGAAATCAAATTTTTAATGTTATAATTTATAGTATATTTATCCAAAAAGAGTTACTTTAGATTGTTTTACCTAGACTGTTTACAGTTTAATAATATTCATTTAAATATTGGTCTGTGAGGCAATAAATGAGTAAATTATGACTCAGAATGTATTCATTGATGGGTCCACCTTTTTTTTAAGTCCATTCTTAAAAAATTTTTCTGTTAGCTCATTTGGATTTGTTTCATGAGAGTTGTGTCTTGCAGGTTAGGATAGCATTTGAGCTAAGTATTTGTGGACCAGGCTTTCTTAAATTAGTAATGAATAAAATAACTTGAATATTTTGCACATCCCAAAGTAATTTGTTAAAATATATTAAAATAAAATTCTATCCTTTTTGCCAAGTTTTTGTAATGGTTAACTAATACAGACCCTAAGTTAGTGCCTCTATGACTAAGTCTAAAGTGATTACCTTAAAATAAATTTAGTGTCACAGTTATAATCTAGATTATGTTCATTACCCAGCTATTTACTTATACTATTTTAACAGCTGATGTTAGTCTTTCTCAGTCCTTAAAGTGATAAATGAGACTTTACCTTTCTAATTAGTGGCTCTTTTAGTAAATACCCTTCCCCCCATTAAAAAAAAAAAAAAAAAGGCAACCCTTCTCCTAAAGAGAACTGTTAGAGATAACAGGTTAAAATGTATTTTAACAAGCTATTTACCCAATTTGATTGGATACTAGTGGGTTGATAGGTCCTGACGGTGACAAACTATTGCATAATTATATCTGTGGTTTCATGAATATGATTTGGCCGATAGAAATATTTATCTCCACATATGTGCTCTCCAGACTACTAGGTTTTCCTCTAATATGGTGGTATTAAGGGGAGTCTTGAAATCTAATAAGATAAGTATCTTAGGGTAGAGATGGGAACAGCAGGTGTGAGTCGTGCCTTTTAATACCAAGTGATTACAGTGGCTGTTTGCTCCAGAATAAGTAGTTTACCATGAAACACTGCAGGAGTCTCAGGGTCTTCTGTTGGTGGAAGACACTAACTTTATTAAGCATGATGCTGCCAGGAGTGTGTTCTGTATGATTTAGTCCCTTGGGTTTTGAGATCATCCATTTCTTTGTAGATTTCTTTGTAGTACATTCTTACTGTAGCTTTAAATTTTAGTTCGATGTATTTTGTGAATATATAATAACTACACATGCTACAAAATTCAAAAGATATTCATTGAAAAGTCCTCTTCCTACCCTTGTATCTGTCCTTCAGCTTCCCTGGAGGCGGCCAGTGTTGAAAATTAGAATTTTATTTTTGCTTGTGATTTGTGTTCCTTTTATATTTCCTGAACTGGTGGGGTTTTTTGTTTGTTTGTTTCAGGATACATTAAGTCATAGCAGTTTAATTGATGTTTTTCTCTTAAATGATAAGCACCGAGGAGATAATAACAATGATTTGGGGAGCTATTTTGCATACTAAATCCAAATGAGGGCTTTAAATACAGTAACTTTTCTTTATAATAACAGTAAAAAAAAAAAAGATTATTTTTCCTTGAGATTTCTAGGTATATGTTGAAGAGTTGTAAATTTCATGCCAGGGGTTTGTGAGGAAAGAAGATCATTAATATGTAAGAATACCATCTCATTTCCTTAATATGTATTTTGTTAATGAAGTCAGGCATTTTTTCTTGTGTTTATTAGTTTATTATTTCTCTTTCTGTGAGTAGTGTATTTATGTCCTACCTGTTTTTCTACACTATTATTCATTCTGTAATTGATTTGTAAGACACTTTTTTCTCCCTTCATTTTTAGGTGTAGCAGGGAAAAATCAGCCCTTTGTCGTATCTGTTGAACTCATTTTTCTTCGTTTGGAGTTTGTCTTTTGCCTATGTTTATGGTATATTTTGCCATATACATAATTTAACGTTTATGTGGCCAAATTGATTTGTTTTTCATGACTTCTGGATTTTATAGAACAGTTAGAAAGGCCTTTCCTTGTTAAGATTTCTTTTTGAGTCGTTATTTAAATTAAAAAAAACTTTACTGAAGTATAGTTGATTTACAGTGTTGTGTTAGTTTCAGGCGTACAGCAAAGTGACTCAGTTATACATATATATATTCTTTTTCAGATCCTTTTCCATTATAGGTTATTATAAGATATTGAATATAGTTCCCTGTGCTATACAGTAGGTCCTTGTTGTTATTTGAGATTTTTTTTTTAATACAGTTATGTTTTCTTCTAATATTTTCATGCTTTTGTTTTACATTAAAACTTCTGTTCCATGTGTAATTTATTTTGGAGTAGGAAGGTAATAATACAACCTTATGTTTTTCCAGATAACAGCCACTTACTCTAACATTTTAAATCAAATAATTAACTAGATTTCTTTTTTTGGCCGTGTCACACAGCTTGTGGGATCTTAGTTCCCTGACCAGGGATTGAACCCCAGCCCTCGGCAGTGAAAGTGCTGAGTCCTAACCACTGGGCCGCCAGGGAATTTCCTCTCCACAGATTTTAGATCCTTTATCTAGCATATACAAAATTTCTGTATATTCTTGGATTTGATTCTAGATTCTCTGTAGTGTCACACTACTTTCTGATAGCTCATGACGCTAGTTCTGTTTATTTTTTAAGAATTTGCTTGCCTGTTTATTCAGCTAATATTATTGCTTACATTAAATGTGCTGGGCACTATTCTAAATGTTGGGATTTATTCTGTATCTGGGGATACAGCATTGAACAAAGTCTCTGCCTCCACAGAGCTTAGATTCTGGTATGAGGTTTGGTTAATTTTATCTTCTAGATGTTTAGTTTGTCTTTATATCAATTCTGTTGTTCCTTAATTTATTCATCAGCTTAATTTGTAAATGATTATTCACTATTTACAATAAGTACATTTATCATTTATTTACCAAATATTTATTTAGCATCTACTAAATAATAGTAGTTTTTAGGGCCAAGGACACAGTGGTGAATAAGTCAGACATGGTTCTGGCTCTTGTGGAGCTTTTGTTTTAGAACAAGCTAACAAGAGTAGGTCAGCTCGGTGTGCTGTACAGAGAATGAACGTAGGGACTCTGGGGAGGGTGACTCCCTGGTGACTTCAGGTCTGGTAGTCTGGGACTGCCTCTCTGAAGAGATGACATTTCGTCTGGAACCTGAGAGGTAAGAAGGGAACGATGATGCAGTGATCCTGGACAGAACAGCAGGTATCAAGGCTGTGCGTGTGGCGTGGTTGAGGAAGGGTAAGGCGGCCAGGGTGGCTGACTCTTAGTGGTAGAAAGAGGGCGGTAGGACAAGAGGACTGAGGGGTAGGCAGATGATGGAGAGTTAGGTGTTTGGAGTTTATTCCAAGTGTAGTGGGGGCCATTGGAGGACTTCTGAGCAGTAGCTGGAATGTTCACTCTTGCTTCTGCGTGAATGGACTGGGGGCCAAGGGATGCAGCAGGAAAACCAGTCAGCAGGGCAGAACATTGCAGGAGACCAGGTGAGAGATGCTATTGCCTGAGACAGAACGAAGAAGTGGAGATTGAGGAAGGGAGATGAGTGTGAAGGAGTTGGCAGAACTTGCTGAGGGTGTTTCAGGTCTTACAAAGGTGTCTTTTGGTTTTTTTGCCTTTGGTTTTTTATGGTAATTATATTTAAAATATTTGCAATACTCGTTATTTTTTATAGTGGCTTTATTGAGGTATAGTTCATGTACCATACAATTCACCCATTTAAAGTGGGTGATTTTTTTTTTTAATTCAGTGCTTTTTGGTATATTCAGAGTTGTGCAGTCATTACCACAGTTAATTTGAGAACGCTTTCATCATTGCAGGTAGAAACCCTGTGAACATTAGCATTCATTCTCCAGTTCCCACCAACTCTCCCACCTCTAGGCAACCACCAGTCTACTTTCTGATTCTGTGGATTTGCCTGTTTGGGATATTTCATATAACTGGAAACATATGCTTTGTGGTCCTTTGTGACTGGCTCCTTTCCCTCAATATACTGTTCTCAGGGTTCAACGATGCTGTAACATGTATCAGTACTTCAGTCCTTTTTATGTCTGAATAACAACACTAGATACTGAATACTGAATAATATTGTACGGCTATACCACATTAGTTGGTAGACATTTGGATGGTTTCCAGTTGGGGGCCATTATGAGTAATGTTGCAAGATACTTTTTATACCTGTTTATTTTTAAGCCCAAAATATATTTTTAAATCTGTTCTCTTTCAGTGCACCCCATTTTTTGTTTTACTCAGATTTCTTTGAGTACGCTAATTACATTTTTTAAATTCTCTTATTTCTTGTAGCTTCTGGGCCGTTTGGTTTTTCATTTTGTTCCATTTATTTCTAGCCAAAGAGTTTCTTCAAGTGTCTGATGATCCTTGTTTGCTTTATTCATTCATGTTTGGATGAAGGGAATAGTGAAGTAGCTGAACTGTGTCCCTCCATCAGTTCCGACTCTACCGCTGCAGACGCTCTCTCTTCAAGTCGGCTTGTGTGTGATGTACTCTGACATTAAATTTCCACCTACTGTGTTCCTCACTCTGTATCCACTTCTCCAACAGTGCTCAATCATATTGTATTATAATTATTTCTCTTCCTCACAACTAGAGATTTCAAGAGCAAATGCTGTATTTAATTTCATTTTGTATATCCCAACTTCTCTTGCACAGTGTGTCACAAAAACATAATAAATACATGTTTGTTGAATTGAATTTTATATCACATTTTAAATTATCATGCATTAAAATGTGTGTTCTTTTTTTCTAGAGGCGTGGAGCTATCTCCTATGACAGCTCTGATCAGACTGCGTTGTACATTCGTATGCTAGGTAAGAATTATTTATTTTGCACCAATATCAGTTAATTTTGCTATCTGCTCTTATTCAAGATCAGGATATCTTTCATTAGGTAGCTTTTCATCACTGTTTGCAGCAGAAATGACCTATTACGCTGAAGTTGAGTCTAGAAGCCAAAATTAATATGATGTGAATAAAGAGGGGCATCTTAGAGTTTGGGTAATTGAGAAATCTCTGGCTTAATAACTGGGACTCTGTGATTAGTATACAATTTTAAGTTGCATCCTCATTATTCTTCATAAAAAGAGTCTTAGATTTGTACAGTTGCTGAATACTGAACGGTAACATGAACAAAGACGAGACCGTGAATTACCTGATCGCATAGTCCTGTCACTGGATGTGTTTGTTCTCAGTTGGCTGGTGAGAAGGCCATTTGTCTTCTCCTAGTCTCAGTTCTTAAATCTTTAATGTATTACTCAAGTCCAGAGGGTGAAATGAATTTGATATGTGTATATATACACATATAATTGATATATATATATATATATATATATATATATACACA